AACTGACTGTTATTTAAAACAGCATCTGTGAACTACTCTGATTATTAAYATATCTGTTTTCAGAGCAAATAAGACAAACCCTTTGATCTCAAAATTCCCACTTTTTTGGTTCTCTACAAAAATCCAGAATCCATCAAAGGACATTTTAAATCATATATCAGAAGAGACCTTTTGAAGTGGTGTAATGAGGCAGTACTGCAGTGGCTTTCAGCGTGTGAAAAGTCAAACCAGTTCTGAGCTTTTTTTCTTTGTTTTTAACCCACTTAAAAAAACCAGGCACTAGCACCAGTTCTGAAGAAACCACTTTGTATTTGTTGCACCTTTGGGTTACCAGTCTCACACTGACAATCTGACACTGGTAACCTAAAGGTTCAGCAAATACCTAAAAACTAACAGAGCAGCAAAATCTCAGAGTAAAACTGAATAAAAACCGAGTTTATATAGGTATCTATGTAAAAAAGAAAAGAAAGGCTTTGTTGCTTTAATATGTTTTCATGAATATGGTTTACACAATGAACAACATGCACACTGGCTTCAGCTGAAATACATCTCTCCTTGACTGTAACAACATATAGCAAGGTCCAGCTTTATAAAAAAACATTGCTATAAAGGGAAATGCCCCAGATGTGCTTTTTGTTCAGCAAGAATATAWATGTATATTTCTTTTTGTAAGACCTGCCAAATACTGTGTTTAAAGTAAGATCAACTACAAAAAAGCCAAAWCAAAATTGGCTATATATCTAGAGCTAAAGTGAGACCTATTAAACTAAAGTAAGGGTAGAACCTAAAGAAAAACAAAAAAAATAAATAAAAGTTTTTTTTTTTTTTTTTGGCTGCTCCTTTTGTCAGGGATTGACAAAGTAAGCTACTTTACATCTTGTCAGTTGTTTTTTATGCCCAATGTTCATCATGATGTAATCGCCACTGTAAACATACGGAGAAGGGGGATGCCATTTAGGGCAGCCAATGGGAGCAGCTAGGGGAGATTAAGGGTAAATGATGCTTGTGGTAGGTGTGCGTTCCTTARCCTGACCATCCAAATTTTGATGCAACGGTCAGGGGATTCGAACTGGCGACCTACCGATCATATGTTTGCCTTCTCTAAGATTTGCTTCCTTCTTCAGGGTTCACAAACTTCACACTAAAGATTTAGCAATTGTTTCACGTTGGGRGTTTTCCTGATTCAACTAGAACATGTATCCTCAGGGTTACGAGACTTGAGACACTGACCAAACAGCTACCGCATCCCCTGTTGAAGATCTAAAGTAAATATCTTTAAAAGAAAAAAAGAAGAAAAATTTGCAGAATATTTAAAATAAGGTCCAGCAAGGATGTAAATAAGATTTTACTCTGTATCTTAAGACAAAGGCATAATGTAGACACTGCAGTTTTCATTGAGTCAAGTGGTCTGGATACATTCCAACAACAAAATACCCACCCCCATCCTCCACACACACACACACACACACATACACACATGCACACAAACATACATGCAATCCTACATTCACATGTCTTTAACCCAAAGCACCCCACACACACACACACACACACACGCACACACAAACACACACACGCACACTTCTTTTTCTGATGCATTAGGCTGTTTTGCCTGGCTCCTTTCCCCTGCAGACAGTGATGGATCTGATTCATTTCACGGTGGTCATTTCTGGTGGCTTCCAGTGCTATCTCCCATTTCACTGTGTGACAGTGGCAAACTGGTCCCCGCATATCTGCCTGACCGATACAGCAGAACAGAGAAGGAGGTGGATGTAGCAGCCAGGATCCTGTGTTGACACAACCTTGCTTTCCTTAATGGGAATTTTAAACTGGACTGCTTTACCAAAAATCGAAACCATTACAATATTTCATGATATGGCAGTGGTAGCTCGGCGGTCAGTGAGTTTGCATTTGCTGATTTGTATCGGGTCTTGGCTAACAATGAAATGGAAATTCTGTTCTGCTATGATGATGATTATTTACAGTTGTATTTGAATTTCAATTGACTGGGAGTTGTGTCTGTTTAAATCTGCTGACATACTGAACAATTTCTGGGAGCGTATCCAGTGCGATGGAAAGGTTATCCTTWTAATGTTCAAAGGGTTCACGATAAACTTATTATACCTCAGATTATTTGGTGTAATATTTATTTTCTTCCCACTATTCAATAAATATTTATTGTTCAACTGTTTCTGTTGATTGAAATAATAGAGTGCACAAAGATCTTGTTTCAGTTGAGAAACTAGTTTCTGAAACGCAAACACAATCGTAATTTGTCATTATTAGGGGAGGAAGTGGACCATGACATCTTTGTTTTCAAAGGTTGTTTTCAGGCTGTCTATACAAAAATGCAATGATGTTTTCTGTTATTTTTTCACTCTGGAATTRTGTTTCCAAAAATACATTTAAGGGCTCCTAAAACACTGTTTCTGTGTGAATGCYAYGCTGAAATGATTAAACATTGTTGTGTTTTCACAAAATGCAAGTCGAGCGTGATAGGGGCATAAGGAAGCCTTGATGTTTCTTTCTTCTTTTCTCTTTTTTTTTTTTTGTTGCCATTGGTTTTGATGATGTGAGTGCTGCACTCAGTTAGTTTAGCAGAGTTTGTGGTGAATTTGATGAAGTGCTGATAGGCTGAGATATGGGTGAACGGAGATTAGCATATTGATATACATCACTGATTGAAAAAGGGGTCTGCAAAGTGAGATAGTAACACCATTTATTAACTTGTCGAAACTTTTCCAAACGAATAAAACATGCAGGAATAGTGCTTTATGTTGATGTGCCATTCTTTATTTTTTCTTGATCTGGAAATTTGCGTGAAATGAAATGTTGTTCCTTTAAAAAAATAAAGATTTAAGCTTGAGCGTGTGCTCAGTGTCAGACTACTTTCATGGTAAGGGATTTAAGTCGACAGAAGACTGACTGGACTCAAGCGATAGAACTCTTTTAAGCTCTGGGCTGAGCTTACCCAGGAGAGACAAGTGTCCACTAAGACTGGAGGTGAAAGAAAGAAGGTGTGTGTGTGTGGGAGGGGGGGAGTGGGCTGCTAGATAATGGAGCATCATTCAAACAAATTCAGTTGCAGTCACTGTGAGTATCAAAAGCTACAAACGAAGATGTAAAAATAACAAGAAAGGGAAAAAGTAAATGTGCACAAAGTGGCAAGGAGATGACGTGTGATAAGAGGAGAGAAAGACAATGCTTGGAGGATGAAGAGAAACCTGAAGGAGCACAGCATGGCACTCCAAACTGACACACAGCCACAGGACACGGGCTTCAATTAGAGTCGCAGCAACACTAATCAAATCTGATCTACAACCTCTGGCTGCAGGGTGACTGAATGTGCACAAGTGTGTGAATGCATTCACGCCTGCACTCCCAGTCAAGAACTACAGCAATCACACACCTCAGAGTCACACAAATCACTTTTTGAACATATTCCTTTTCTTCTTAGAACATATAGCGGACTAAATATTATTTGTTTCTATACAAACAGGCTGAGATAATGCTCAGTATCTTCACTGACATTCATAAACCTCAAACACATCCAATATTCTTAACCGCTGCCTCGTAACAGATATCGACCGAGAAATACTACATATTTCTTTATCTGCCTATCTTATAATGTTATTCTGCAGGGCTGTCAATCAGAACCCAGTGAAGTGATTTTCAGATATTATACCAAGATCCCACAAGGATAAAGCAGAGACTGAAAAAGAGAGAAGGGGTTCAAATGTGACACATAGGCGCTTATCTCAAACAGAAAATAGGATTGTTTGAAGATTTGCATGGTGATGTAGACTTTACAAAGATTCTTCTCTAACTATCACAGCATTCAAAGCTTAGGCTGTGTAAGTTAGAGCCGTGAGCAAAGTGAGGAGAAGCACTTTTATTTATTTKWTTWTTTTCTTTCAGAAAAGTTCAAATTTAGTCATTTTTCATTTGCCTTCTATATGTCCTCCAACTTACRTGCTTACTTAAATTGTTAGAACACAGCAACTATGGTAAAGTAAAATTAATACTATTAGTGTTGGTTTTACACTAAACTGTGTTAATTTAGCATTACTTAGTGTTAATTTGACACTGCTTGATATTAAATCAACACTAATAGTAATAATAATGATGARGCATCAGTCTTWCATAGCGCTTTTCAAGACCCTCAAAGACGCTTTACAATTTTCATGCATCATTCATTCACACACTGATGATAGTAAGCCACATTGTAGCCACAGGGCACACTGAAAGAGGCAGGGCTGTCATACTGCACCACCGGACCCTCTGACCACCATCAGTAGGCAAGGCAGGTGAAGTGTCTTGCCCAAGGACACAACAACTGAAATGGTGGGACGGGGGATCGAGCCAGTGACCTTCCTGTTCCAGGACAACCCKCATAACCACCCTGCCACAGCCGCCCAATAGTGTTAATTTAACACTGCCATATATGTAATTTCAAGTGGTTTTGGTTCATTGGTACAAAGAACAAAAAAACAATGAATTGATTTTGTTGCTGATTGCCCAGTAACCTTTGATGAGAACCTTATTATGTTTTCCACAACCTACACAGCCGTATCACACCCTGTACACCTGCCCTGGCACAACAGTTACACTCGACAAAATCATGAACAAGCATCATGTCTAAACTAGGTTGTTTCCATCACCTTGCCATAATCATGATCATAGCCTTGGCATGAGGCCAGAATGGCCAGTTCTGGTTTGAAAACCTGACCTTTAAGTCTTGTCAGTGGACACAGGTCTCATGACATGGATATAGTGTCACCAGGACCTTGATACTCAACCACAACCTTGCTACAGCTTTAGTTTGTTCCCAAAACCTTTGTGGACTTATAACACTCTATCACACATGAATATAGATTATTGTATTACTAAAACATGCCAGATGACCTAGCCAGAACCCTGAAGAGACATTGTACTCCAGTGTAAAGAGGGCCTTAAGCTAGAGCACATTAACATCAATTTGTTTCTGATCGTTAGCTTACCTCACTGTCTCTTCCCATCCACCGAGCCACAATGAGCTGAATCATTCCTCGCTTGTTGCCCTCTACCGACATGGACCTGCGGAGGGTTTCCATGGCATCCTGGTTAGTCATGCCGAGCAACGACTCCCCATTTACAGCGATGAGCTGGTCATTGACATGAAGACGTCCATCCTGCACACAATAATCGTCATGATGTTGGATGTGATGAATATTGCTATTATTGTAGCTTTAATAAAATTATTTTTTTCAGAAGGCAGCCTTCTGTTTCCAGAAAAAAATAACACTATCAAGGTAATATTAAATTATTGGTTCTTTATTCATATTTCCTAAAAGGTAATGAAAGAGTTTTAAGAAAAAAAAAGTCCTCTAAGCCACTATCGTTTATGAATAATGATAGCTAATTTCTCTTTGAGTAAAAKAAATATTAAAACTTAACATTTGTACCCAAGGAGAAAAGTTTTTAAAATAATAATATAGAACCCAAAAACTTCAAAAGACCCTTCACTTTATCATACCAGTGGGGCATTGATTTGCAACAGAAATAACATTTAAAATCAACAAAGTCCATCAAGGTGATMGTTAGAATGGGAAAAGAGGAAGTAGTTGTTACTTGCCTTGCTCGCTGCCCCTCCATTAATAATAGATTTCACGAAGATGCCCAGGTCAGCCTGGTTCTCCTTTGACCGGTTCCCCTTGACGCTGACCCCCAAACCCGCTGAGCCGGAGTCATTCAYTGGGATCTCAAATGTCATAAAATCTTGTGCACCATCCTGGGTTAACACCAAGTCATCTTCCTCGTGCTGATGTGGACAAGAAACAGAGAGTTGGGTC